ATATGACGGCAACAGGAACTTAAATGTGTTATGTAATCCTGTGCACTATACTTGTTATGTGTGATGTAATGCCGATAGGACACAACGTCTACCGCATTGGGTGCTCGGAATACAAAGGGCTGTTACCCATAATACCTATATTTGCTTACAGATATATCACAGAGACTGTGGCCATGTCATTGCACATCACTTCATCATGTTTCTGCTTTAAATCCATACTCGACATTATCCATCTTATATGCAATAAATTCCGATAAAAAGAAGCAGCATTTGCGCAATTTCAATTTTCTATACAATGGCAAATCTCGTAATGGTGTCTGACAATCACATGTTGGGATGTGTCCTGGAACGTGGATCAATTACTGTCAGATTCATAATTTATTTTTAATATCTAATTTCAGCTGGAACCCCAGTGAGTATCAAGTGTCTGCCTCGTGTGTTGTCGAAGTATTGACGAGGTCATGATTGGTGAGGAGGGAGCATCTCTCGTTATTAATTGATTTTATTTTAAGCCAACACTATAATTCTCCACTCGATGCGTCAATATTGCATCGTTAACAGCATTATAACCCTGGAGAATTCGGCCAATAAAATGCCACAGAAGTCCAATTTCGTAAAATCATGCAGAGAAAAGTTCCCAAAGGCTATAATGGAATGGTTTTGAAGTATTTTCCAATCTTACGCAATATATGCAGTTTGAGTTAAACTCAACGATGCAGAGGACAAGCTATGTTTGTCATATTGATTTTTATTCAGAAAAATGTTGACTTGAATCAATCTAAGAAGAAAAAAAACGAATAAACTGCATGATTTTGGAATTACGGTAGAGTGACGCTGCCTTATGTTTATATGTATGTTTCGATCTTACTGAAACATGTGCTGCAGTCTGGCAGTACCCATGATTGTAACGTTAGCTCAAGAATCTCCTTCTGTTTCCAGATGAGCAGAGGTGGCAGGAGTTCCACTTGGTGATGTTTGTTTTCATCAAAGCGAGCATCAAAGTTGTCTGTTCATATTCAGTTCACCGTGACCTCACCTTCTGTGACATAGATGGGTGGGATACGTTTATGGTTGGTTGTTGTTATATGCCGCTCTCAACAATATTCTAGTTATATGGCGGCGATCTGTAAATAAACGAGCCTGGACCAGACAATCCAGTCATCAACATCATGAGCATCGTTCTTCGCAATTGAGATACGATGACATGTGTCAACGATCCCGTTAGTCGCCTCTTACGACAAGCATGGGTTACTGAAGACCAATTCTAACCCGTATCTTCACGGTTGGATAAGTTTATAGTCTGTGATTGCACTCATGTATATTTCAAAAAGAGCTCAATAAGCCGTTATTTGAGGAATGGTACAATTCAGGTTTGTTAATCTTGCTAAGGAATGGTGTTAAAAAGCACGAAATGACTTCTCCTATACAACTAATATAACCTACAAGACCTTCTATAACGAGTGGTACAGAAACTATTCTCAGAAACTAATGTTAATCCAATGTAAATGCGTCTCAGTATAATTTGCTAGCAATGTCTTTTCTCGCAACTTTCCCCATTATCGTCATCGACAAAGTTTCCCTTTGGCTCAGAAACATAGCTGGAGATTTAGCGAAATAACTAATATGTCGACAAAGATTTTTTAAGTGAAATTGAAACAACGGGGCGTTAAGAGATCCTTCCTTCCTGCATTTGGGCAGAGTGAAAAACGGTCAAATGGTGGAATAGATTCTGAAAGGAGATTGCTCAGACGCCAATAACAATCTAAATAGATTACAGGGTCCTATTGAAGTGTGCGTAAATGTCAAATGATTGCTCATTATTTTTGGCTAACGTTGGTACTGAGTCAATTGCTGTTCATAAACAATCCACATACATCCGGTACCTTTCATTATTAAACGTTCCGGGGATCTTATGTATTGTGTCTGAGCTTACAAAGCAGTAATTGGATTTATGTCCTCATTAAATCAATTATCATTGTTGATATTGCCATTCATAATCCTGTAATCTTTCTTGGTAAGATTCCATATTTGTACAAATTAAAAAAAATCTATAGGGTCCATATTATTCAAGAAAGGAGTTCAGAAAAGCAGGACTGACTGACTGAGTTTGGTTTTACGTCGCTTTTAGCAATATTCCAGCAACATCACGGCGGGGGACACCAGAAATGGGCTTCACACATTGTGCCCATGTGGGGATTCGAACCCGGGTCTTCGGCGTGACGAGCCAACGCTTTAACCATTAGGCTACCCCACCGCCCCTCAGAAAAGCAAGAGCACATAAATACTCCTACAATGGCTTTCGTTGAATCCCTTAAAGCTTTGTCACAAGGATGATGACATTTGCTGTTATGGCAATGATGTTCCCTGTAAGTCAGTATAATACCAATTACTGGGATTTAGAATGATTAATATTTACTCTATTAAGTAGAGAGAATGCTAAAATGCTACAGCAGGAGTTGTAAATAGTACACATGTGTATTTAGAACCAGGTTTTCAATCTGTTCCAAAGACAACGTTGGTCACAATTAGAGATGAGGATAGGCCATAGTTTTGGCCACAGCCTGACTAAGGGAAGCTCTTTCGTAAGGTGTAAATACTCTGCTTTGTGGCACTAGGTATGTGGTTGATACCATGATCAACTAGACACGTAGTGAGGGTACTATAACCACAACATGTCATACCCGTGAAGATGCGGGTTAGATTTGGTTTTCATCAACCCATCATTGTTCTAAGAGGCGACTAACGGGATCGGGAGGTCAAGCACGCAGTCTTGGGTTGACACAATCATCGTATCCCAATTGCGTAGATCGATGCTCATGCTGTTGATCACAGGAATGTCTGGCACAGACTCGATTATTTACAGTCCGCCGCCATATACCTCGAATATTGCTGAATGCGGTGGTAATCAACAAGCAAGACAAGTCAGATCACATTGGTCGGCACTTACAGCCACAGGTTCTAGAGAGCACTTCTCTTGTCGAGCTGTTGTGTATATGTGGTGGTGGTGGTGGAATTGGGTTTAACGTCGTGCTTGAGAATATTTCGCTCATATGACGACGTGCATGGGTGTGTATGTGTATGTGCGGCTGCTTGTACTAGCCCAGACTTAAACTGGTTTTATAGTGCTAGCCCGCTGAGATACCATGCCGCAGTGAGGCATGAATACGCCACTCAGACACATTATACTGACTCTGAGCCAACCAGTCCTTGTTGTACCCATTAATGCCGAGCGCCAGGCAGGGACCAACAAGTACCATATTTTAACCTCTTTTGGTATGACGCGGTCGGGGATCGAACCCGCGACCTTCCGCACTCCGGGCGGACGCTCTAACCACTACACCACGGAGGCGGTCGTTGTGTATATGTACCGGATGATTATGCTCACATGTAAATATAAACCATATCATAACTATTCGGTGGATTTATATCAGGGAATCATCTGCTTTGAAAGTATCTGACGGGTTAGATTGCCTTAGTATATTTAAGACCTCGTATGGTAATGTCCCATATACACTCGTAGCTTGTTGAAACATCATGGACCCTGTTGCAAGACACTCCACTCCATTTCACGTGTGTACCTTGCGTTTATTGTTTTACACTGCAGTCAGGAGAACTTAAACAATAATAAAACCACCTTCAATCGTACCTAGGTCCGGCAAACGACTGAATAATTTCATGCACAATGACCCGTCCAGTTGGTGTGTTATGACATACGATCAAACTGTCACCGAGTCCGTCCATCAAGTTCCTTACGTTTCGGGGACCAATTCTAACCCACGACAACGACATAAAGATGAGTACTTTCCACGCAGAAAAGATCCAAACATACAGGCATGAACACATTCCAGGTAAGATTTCCTTCTCCAGCTTTCCCGCAACACTTGATGATGTGAATACACGCTTTAAGTGCACTCTTGTGACCCATATCTTTACAGCGAAATTTTGAATTATTCATTTCCCGAATTGAACATTGGAAGAAGACATTATCGTAAATTCGAGTCTCCTTGATGACAAACATATTTTCCGCTTCATCTCACTGGAGATTTTTCCAAGTGTTGTTGATTTGAAATTTCTGCATCTGAACATAAAGAATCTAAAAGTGGTCGCAAAGTGAGATTGAGATAATGAACCGAATTATTTGTGTTTCCCCAATAGGACTTGGGACATTCGACTCATCGACCGTTCAAACTGACGGAGGTAAAAATTATTGTCAAATACAGATTCGCGTGAATCGATTTTAGATAAAGACGAAATTAGAATAAAAAGGGAAAATAATTGCAGATTAAGTGCAACACGCCATGAACCTCCAGTGTGAACAAGGAGACAAGAGTTACATAACAGTAACATATTTGGCCCGATGATCGATATGGACGTTGTCGAGGGAATATTATAACACACATTTGTAATTGCACTTGAGTTATCCTGTCATTATAGCCCCCTTCCGTTCACGTTCACTAACATCCATAAACATTTATGAGGCAAAATAATCATTCCTGTACATAATTATTGAGATTCACACGCAACATTACAACATGTATTTTTAAACTTTTGTAATAAACATATTTCATTGACCTGATTCTATTTTCTTAATTTCCACCTCGTCTCATCGTCATTTCACAACCTAGTGAGCTAACGCAGTTGTGATCAATTCATTATAAGCAATTGAAAGCGCCATGCATATGCATAATATCCTGCATGCTGCATCGCAGGAAGTAAGGGAAGTCACCACAAAGAATATGAATATCTCTATATGGTGGTAAGGTGCGGTTGAACGGCGTCACCTGATTGAATCCATCTGAAGTCCATCGAAAGCACTAGAATTAGATTCCACCTACATCATCTATGCTGCCATATTCCAAATGTGCGTAACCCCTCACCCAGCATCTAGTCACGACCAAGGAAGTTAAGTAACTGACTTCTTTTGTGTTTAAAAGTTCCTGCTCTTTCTCTCCTGTTCTATTGATTACAACGCACAGCGCGAGGCTAAGCGTGGCTACAAACGGCTAAGTCTGTACAAGGTAGCACCAACTAGCTATGCGCACACTGCACGCCGAGCCTCGACAGTGTCGTCTGCTACCACATCAACAGCAGACGACATGATAAGTAAAACTGCAACAAGGGCGAAGTCGTGATACATCCCATACGAAAGCGAGAAGCAAGCTGTTTACTACTGCTATACCTAGCGAGATCGTTATATGAACGGACACGCCTCCAACCACAGCAAGTCTCAACAGTGTGCTTCGTGGAAGCCTGTTCGGACGGTAGTTATTCGTCCCTTCAACGTGAGATTTGCTTAATTAATGGAAAATACATGTGAATGGGGGAATCTCGACGACTGTAGAGACTATGAATTTTGCCATTGCCGTTTTAGTCTGTCTTTCTGGGATATTGCAGATTGCCATCAAAGCGCAGGAGGAATCAGGTATGTGATAGTAATTATCGCAGTCCCTCTTTTCATTATGCCATTTCTTCCAGATATTACCACCTAACTATGATTTCACAGTGAGACAGTGTGTCAAATTTGCTTAATAGACGATGGATGGTTGAGTATCGATGCATCATAAGAAATTCAATGGCCCTGTTATTGTTTTAATAGGCAATATCGATCACATCTACTAAATGCTACAATCATCTAAAGACGTGTAATAGCCACCTGTCGAAATCTGTGGCAGGTTGCATCGATCTAAATCAGCTTTGCGAAATAGCTTTCCAATAGGTATTGAAATAATTCTTTCATTGTACCCGTTTCTTCGGAACCAGTGATGTTTTGGTATCACGGTCTTAATGTCTCCTATGCATGTTGTCTGGATAGAACGTGGTATTTCATTACGTGTAACAATAAGAGCATACATGTACGTGTTTGACAAAATATTCGTTCATTTTGTGTTTTAGGCTATCTGTGATAATATAATGAAATTTGCATATTTACATTGTGTATTTGGGTGAATCGTATGTCCAAACACCAGAGAAATGAGCCATGCATATTAACACAACATACTTCACATCAATTTACAGCGGGTGGCTCTCTATGATGCCCGCTTCTGATGTTCTGTTCACAGATTAGTTTATTCAGTACTTCGACTAAGATATGGTATGTTGCTGCATATCAACGATCGTTAGCAACGCCTATAACCACTTGATAAAAGTATTGAATTTACCATCATTTATCCCTGGAAACTTAAAGTATTGTACCAACAAATCGCTGTGATTGTTGTTGGCCAGAGCATTTTGATTTGTATTTTGTATAAATAGTATAACTATATAGGTATTAACAGATGCAATCAACCTTTGTTTGCTATTTAAAAGTTGAAAAGTATAAATTCATATTTTGTCAAATGCAATAACAAAACACTGACTTTATTCAATGCTAACAGTTTTGTTACATGTAAGTCAATCCTATGACGGAACTGACACCCGGTGTTTACAGACACGTTACTGCCCTACCGTATGTTATTAACACCTAAAATAACATTCGGGTTATAACACGAGGCTGCTCAATACCTCATACACAACGAACACCACAGAAGTGAGGTATGTATGGTTCTCTCTCATTAGAAACAATATTTACATATGAATGGTGGATTGTACGTGTACGGCTTCTACTCGTTCTGTTTGCATAGTGGCTTTTGAGTTGTACAGTATACGCATATGAATGTTGTTGTTGACGACATTCAGTATTAGTTGACACGAGACGGCATGTTGACCTGTAAGAAACAAGATAGTCGTGCTTTTAGAACCGTTTGAAAGGCCCAAGGGTACTTTTGTTCATATAACTACGTTAAGTGTAATTAAATATAGTGGACGTCCTTTGTACATCTAATGTTGTGAAAGGCTGTTCCACACAAACACGCATTAATAGTTTCTCGGCGGTTCAAGCTTCATTGAGTTTTCCAGGAATGCATTGTCCATCATATCAACACTTTATAACAAGTGATTCTCATTGGTTGGGGTCAGATAACACGTTAAGCCTTTCACAAGACCAGCGTTACAAGATTATTCATGTTACAGTAGTTTTCGTTATGGACAGTGGTGCTTCCATTCATGGACTCAATCATACATTCCACTTGACTGGGGTGCATCATGCCAGCAAATGACAAATACCAGCAGTAATGTTGATGCAGCTTCTTTATAACACATCACATTTCTTCGTAACATACTGGACGCTATTAAGTGGCAGTGATACATAAACTGATCATTTGGAGTAAAATAAACAATACCTCTTATTTGATTACCTCTTATGTTTGGGTTTCAGTTGCAAATATGTTGAATTATGTGATATCATATGCAAAGCTGTACTTGGGGCCTATTCAGCGCTCTAAGAATACTTCTACGTTGTTTTAAAATGCAATTTGATTTAAAACTTTATGATTTATATATTCGCCTAATACAAAACTGCTGATAGGTATTTCAGAAATGTTTTATCTGAAAATCAATACTTTAGCCTTTTTTCTGCACTCCATTTCTGACAGCTTGGGTCATGTCGATAGTCGTCATTGAGTCAATATAATTTTACCCAAAATTACCCAGCCACATATTACGTTTTGCAAACTGTTCCAAGAATGAGTGATAGATAAATTGACATAATAAATCATAATAACAGTTCCTTCATTTTTCACTTTTTTTACACTTCGTTTTCTTTCTATTGACCCTAAATTTATACAAATCATTCTGAAATGAATGAATGGGTCTTATGGGTAAGTGCCTCCTCCACAACATGCATGCATGAGCAATGTGTTCTCAGCTCATGAGGTCATTTTGTTCCTGATTGACTGAGCACAAGCGGTTGTTTTCCCAATTAATCATTAAGAGCAATTTTATTTACAAGTCAATGAATACCGTTATTCTTGCATGTTCTGCTGGTGGGAGTAACATAAAAGGAAGAAGATTGAAAGTTATCATTTATCATTTTTTTCAGTTTGCCTAATCAAGCAGATTGAACAAATCACATATCGATTAAAGAGTTTCTTTCAGACTTTTCTCATAATAAGATATTCATCAAGGCTCATTTGAAGCTATCATACATGAACGATAATAGTACTGTTTATGATCAGTATGACGAACATTACATAACGGTTGGTAAAGTTGGTTAAATATTGTAGAAATTGTTGAGGTCATTATTATCAATCTATATCATTGGCTGGGATTTCTGATTGCTGGCAAGATAATTAATGCTCCCAGGTTTGGTCACCAGTCAATCTTGACAATGATATCGGATCATGATGTTTTGATCGTAGTACATGTATCACGAGAAGAATAACGCAATTAAGAAAGGATGCAGTTTGATGGAATTTGTACCAACGACTGTTGAACCAGTATAATGAATTGTATTCTGATGTTACTCGCAGATGGTAACCTTTGTACCAAGTCATACTCTCAGGAATACTTAAACATGGTCCTCATCAAACACTCCCATTTGACCAGTTCACGGACGACACTCTAATGGAAACAGAGGTCCAAATAAAGAGATCGACATTCACCAGGTAGTGATTGATGAGGCATTCAAAAGCTTCATTAAGACGGTCTATTGGAACATCTCTTTGTCTCGAGAAATGCAAGCAGTTGATTTCTGGCTGTATGTTCTCATTATGTACTCATTCTTCACTCGTTGATAGATCAGAATCCAAACTGTTTGAGTGTAATTTGAAGGCTTTGGTGGGTTGCTGTTTGGTTCATTGGTCGTTGTGAGTGAGTGGTTGGTGAGTGAGTGAATGTGAGTTTACGTCCCATCTAACAATATCACGGCTTTGGACAACAGCGTTAGTCTTCACACTTCAACCACGAGTCATGTTTACCTTCAGAAAGGTTGTATGTGCAACGCATAAGATACATCGACTGTAAGATATGCTAATAACCCCGAGATAATCTGGATCTGGGTTAGAATGTTCAGCAATACCTAGTCTTAAGTGTCGGCTATTAGTTCGTCTTGGTTGATCGTATCCCACTTGCCAGGTCCAATGCACAGGATGTCAATCACAGTCAGGTCCAGATTCGATTATGTTCATATCAGCGTCATATATCAATCCCACACCTGTCCGGCCCAAACTCAATTATTTACAAATCGCCGTGATTATAGGTTGCTGTGTGCTGTCTTACACAAGGGAACGATACGTGTCATGGGTAAGATGGATTTAACGCCATAAGTACCGGCGTGTAAGTTCGATGTGGAATGAAACCCAAGCACAACAAAGAGTTCTAACGTACGTAACCGTTACAAACATTCCAAAGAATGTTCGTTTTACAAGATGGATCCATAAGAATGAGTTAATGACTGTGGTTTTAATGACAGTTTAGTGTTCACATACAGTTGGTGGAAAGCCTGAAACGACGCAAGTTTTCAACATTTACAATTTTGGCTAACCTTAAATCAAACCCACAAACATATCTACTCATGCCAATAATGGTTGTCACCCCCTTCAAATTTTTTTATTGGAGAGGGGGTGTGGGGAGGGGGGTGACAACCATTGTTGGCATGAGTATACTTTGGAAACAGCAATCTGTTGTGTTTATATTCGTAATTGCGTGCACGTATTCAATCTATAAATCACTTGTACGAAGGATACTGTCAGTAACTCGATATTGTTACACCGTTGGCATCGTATTCCTGATACCTTACCTGTATATTAGAGTGAGTGAGTGAGTTTGGGTTTTACGCCGCCTGTAGCAATATTCCAGCATTATTACGGCGGGGGACACCAGAAATGGGCTTCACACATTGTGGGGAATCGAACCCGGCTCTTAGGCGTGACGAGCAAACGCTTTAGCCACTAGGTTACCCCACCGCCCTTGTATATTAAAAAACGTACACATGGTATATCTGTTTGATAATATATTTCTAATTGGTACAATAGTATCACGAAACTAATTAGTTTTCATTGAAGATAAAATCAACCACTATACTGTGTGTAATTTGCACATACGTATGCACACCAAAACATTAATGTTGATTTCAGTATCCTCTCAGACCTGACCAGAAGAATTTGTGATCATGCGACAAGCCATAGATTGAAGTCTATACATGCAAAACAGTCAAGATATATTGATTTACTTCCATCAGTTCAAAGAAGCCGAGAGCGAATTGTGAACATATGGATTTAATACCTAAATAGATCAAAAGCAGAAACTAGTCAGTCTGGCATAATCAGTTCGACCTCCAATTTTTAGCTATTCCTTTTCCAAGACATGTGCAAATAAGTGAGGCAGCTGCTCCACTGGGTTGGTTCATCTAGCCCAAAGGTCCGCAGGAACATGACGTCTAATGTATCTCCTTCCTCGTATTAAAAATTTACAATGCACTTCTTATCGAGGATAACTGAAATGAACGAGAACACAACGGTACATGGCACTAACCAGTTTATTAATGGACCGTGTTTAATGTATCATAATACGGGCATATATTACCTTAATTGTGGTAAGAGTATAAGA